AGTCTGCCTGGCTCTGCCTGGAATCTGCCTCGCTTTGCTGGGGTCCAGGAAATGCCTCCAGGCATAAAACTGGAGTGGTTGGATGTCTTGCCTCATCTGTTTTCTTTTTTTGTTTATTACACTTTTGTACTACCTATTGTCCAATCTTTGAAAATTATTGCTTCATATTTTTTCTTAGGTCTTTTAATTATTTATGGTAAAAAGGCAAGTCTGATACCAGCTGCTCCATCGTGGCTAAAAGTAGACATCCTTCAGCTTATCATTTTTTAAATGGACTTGCTACTTGCCTCACAAAGTTGGTTACACAATGCACATAGTGAGACAGCCCCTGGCTTTGCCTGCCCCTCTGAGGATCCTCAAGTCATTTCTTATTGTTTTATCTGCAAAACATCTTAAATATGATTCCAAAAAAGGTACAAATTATTAGTTTAATCTTTCTTCCTTCTTTCCTTCCTTCCTTCCTACCTTCCTTCCTTCCTTCCTTCCCTCCATCCTTCCCTCCTTCCCTTTTTCTTTTGCTTGCTCTCTCTTTTATCCCCGTTTTGTCACAGCTCCCAGTATCCCAGCTATGATCCCTGAATCTGTTGAATTTTGCGTCTCCTCCTATTTCTCTTTCTTCCTGCTTAGTGAATCTTGTTATTCCATTCTTTAAGTATCCTATAGTTGGATCCCATTTAAACCCTTCGAGGGTTTATGTCTTGAAAGAAGTTCAGAGTGGCTAGAAAATGGGTCAATTGATTATACAACAAGGTTAGAAACCTCAGAGAAGCTAACTAGATCTGTTAAGTCTTATTCATGATATTGAGAAAAGTACATTTGATCTAGAATTGTGCTACCCAATACACTAGCCACATGTGACCACTGATCACTTGAAATATGGCTAATGCCACATCTTGAAGTGATAATATTTTCAACATCTTAGATTCCATAAATTATGAAAATATATTTCACCTATTTCTTTTTGCCTTTTCTAATGTGGATTGCAACATGTTTCAATTGAGCTGTGCTGATCTAGAAAGTCCAGGGCAAGGGAAGAAGGCTGAGGTTTTAAGAAAGACAATGGCTTGGTAAGTGTGTAATTCAAACCTAACTGTCAGGCAGTGTGTAGAGGACAGACAACAGAGGGGATGATCTGAAGGCAAGAAAAGCTATTGCAAAACTGTGAGAAATGATCATCATATTCAGTGTCACAAAAGTTGTATTTCTATGATATAAAATTGCTATTTTGTTGCATTAGTAGTAGGGAAGCTAAATACGAATAAAATAAGTTATCCAAAAACTTGTGCAACTTTGTTTTGGAAAGTAGATACCCGGTCTTACACATGTGTACACACCCACACCTATTAACACCTCTTTTGTACCCATTCATGACCATTTCAGATCAGCTCTAAACTAACACAGCCTGAGAAAGCATGGCCTTCTGTGTATTTACACAAGCAGGTCATCTGGGGCTAGTGGGAAGAATTTGCCCTTCCAGAATTAGCTCTGCCACTTGCCAGACTCTGGGTCGGTTGCTTAAACTCTCTGAGTCTCACTGTTTTCATAAGAAAAATAGCTAAAGCTTCTGTAGCATCTATGGAAGATTAAATGTAAAAACTTTGAAAGTATGTAAAACTGAATAATTAATGCTATAAAATTTTAAGTATGCTTGCTGTTCTGTTCCACAAAGTATACCGTCTTCATGCATAACAGAGGGAGAAGGGTCGACTAGAATTTCACTCCCTAGTCGGGGTGAACTGAACCCCCTCCCATTTGGCAGGATAGATGCTCTGGAAGGTGTGTGGCAGCAACAACCCCAAATCATTGTGGTCTTCTTCTTCGGCAGAGTTTGTCATCCCCAGGCAAGCATGTCCTCCCTCCCACCAATGGCCCTGGCAGTAGACTAAACTGGGTAAGGGAAGACAGGCCAGACTCGCTGAAGGTTAAGTAAATGAGACTCGCTGGGCTCACATGCTGGTTATCTGGCCACACAGGTGTCCCAGGGCCTTTCTTTCCCTCACCTGGGGTTTGGTATCACAAGGTTGCCAGAATCAGAGCCTAAACTTATGTCAATATTTAACTCCTCTGCAAACATAGCTACTGGCTTAGAAGCATCCCCACTTGGCATTTTTATTTTTAAATGTCCAAGGTTTCAGAGTCAAAGCTGAGCCAACTTCATATAATGCTCTGCTGACTCCAGGAATTAGTTTTCAATGAGAGCCCACTGTCAAGGCCATGGGATAGCTGGAGAAGGACTGCCATGGTTCTATCACCTTTTACAGGTCCCACTTCTATCCTGCAACCCCGAGATGTGAGGAGTAGCAGGCTGGTGGGGAGCAGAGCTTTGGTGGGAGCTCCAGTCCACCTCCTGTAGAATTGGACAGCTTCTTTTGTGTCCAGCAGACTGCAATGCTCCAGCCACACATAAGTTGCATCTGGGGGCCCAGACAACATCGAGTGAATTTTCATTAAACCCTCAGATATCATATGGCCTCTGGTTGCTTGTGAAAGAAGGGACGCCCTTAGGACTGAACTGAAAAATGCCCATTAAAATTTAAATTCTACAAAAATGAAGTGAAAAACTGAGCAATTACTTTTTATAATTCAGGAAGTGGCAAAAAAGGGGGTTTTTAAAACAAAGAATTAGGGGGCAAAAACTGTCACAGTATTAATGTGCCATCCAAATCTTGTGAAATTCATACCATCAGTACCATCCAAATCTTATGAAATTTGTAGCCCAGGACTCAATGTTTGATACCGGAGCTATTCTTGGGAAAAGGAGAAATCATTGTCCAATAAAATAATCTCTGTTGGTTAAGTGAATGCTAGTTGCTATCATCCTGAAATATCAGTGGCTTAAAACAATAGGAATTTATTATCTCTTGTTCATGGAAAGTTTAAAATGAGTCTTCATGATTGATGGGTGGCTTTCCTATAAGCAAGGAGCCCAGGCTTCTTCTATCTTGTGGCTCTGCCAGCTTCAACATATGGTGTTCAAGGTCTCTGTACTTGTCTGTATCAAGCCATGGAGGGGAAGGCAGGTGGGGGGTCATATGAGTATGTGGGGTTTTATGAACAAGACTGTAACTGGTGCACCCCTGTGCACTCACATCTCATTGGCCAGAATTTGATCATATGGCCCATCCCCCTGCAAGGGAAATGGGTAATAGGGTCTAGTTCCATTCCCTATAAAAAGAGGCCAGCAATCTCTGCCACATAGTCTATAAGCAGACAGTCCTAGACAGCACATTAGTGTCTGAAAGAAACAATATGGTTCATAAAATTTTACAACCCAGCTAAAGGGTTTAGCAAGATGGAATTTAGGGGAAGTCATTCATCCAGAGCTGACCTGATAGACTGCTGATTATGTACAATTCCCTTCTTAGCTTTTATAACAGTTTGGGTTATTGAATCTTCCCAAAACATTCTAAAATTTGAACCTATTTTACTTTATAAAATAATTCCCCATGGACACTAGTCTCTGTCTCAGAATTTGGTTACTTTTGGTGCTAATTCTGAAGACTATGTTAAACAAAGGCCTACTAACAATGGATTAAATTTTGTACTATCTAAAATGCCAACTTAGAAATTTTGTGTAAGTTATTTGGTAACTCACAGAGAATATATTTTACTTCATAGTAAACCCAAGAGTGAATATTGGCTCACCGTTTTTTGTTTGTTTCTTTGCTTGTTTTGAGTAAAAAGGGCTTCACAAAAATCACAGTTCTCTACTGTGAGATTGTGTAGGCAGTTGTTACTGTAGCAATTATGCCAAACAAATTACTTTAAATTTTCATTCCCTCATTTGTTTGTTCATTGAGTCAATGGGGATGTGTTAAGAGCCTGCTCTGTACCATCCATGGAATTCCTTCCTTGCACTTTCTGTCCTGATTTTAACATTTCCCTTGCCCAACTTTCTTGAACTTTTCTCATATACAAATAATTTTGTTGGTTTTTTTCCATACCCATAAATGTTGTCAGGGAACTGAATTATTTGACCATTTTTGACCTATAAATGTAGCAATTTCGTATGATTCAACCTATATCTGTGATGCTGTCAGGCTAAATGGCTCCTGTCTCTTAAGTTTGTGGTATCCTATTACAATCTTTTAAAAATTTATTTTAAGCAATCTATCACCAACTGTAAATATCCCAATTCCTTTCTATCAAATACTTCTCTTTCAAATTATTTTTCCCAAACCATTTTTTCTAAGTTGAATTTTATTTTTCTCTCTTATTTGTAATTTCATTTGATGGTGGGGTTGCTGATTTCATCTCTGTGCTCTTAGAAGTACCCGCAATTCCTTTTGTCAGTTCATTTATTTTCCCTATGATATTGTTGAGAAATAAACTAGTTCTATGGACTATCAAAATAAAATATCAACTGCTTTCCTAAAAGGAATGAATTCTCTTGAAGAATTGCCTCTATTTCACTGTTTTTGAGGGTAAGGTAAGGTAATACGAAAACTGCCTGAGCTGGTAAGCTTTTAGTATTTGTTTTCAAGACTGTTGCTATCAAATCTGTAATGAAAGCAATTTAGTTTCATACATATCCACAGGCCTGCACAGGGAATTGTACATTTAAAAGGGGGCAGACTAGAACCTTCACTGAAATTATGGTAATTCTGAGTATTGTATAAGCAGATTGGAGAAGCCCTGTTCATAGCTACCCTTTTCTCATCTTCCCATAAGTACTATGGAAAACTTTACCTACTCTATCAATTTTGGTTTATTTATGATTAAAATTAGAAATACATCCTTGGAAACTCCTCTGTTTTCATGTCACTTTTCCATGGAACTGCTCAAAAGATAAGGTTTGCCTATAAAAGGGACCTTTCTGTGCCACCTGGTTGTGTGCAGAACCTGACAGAACTGCCACGGTGAGTCAGGAACATGTTTCCCAAACCTAACTTATTAGTATTTACCCATTTTCCCCAAAGATCTAATGGAACTTGAATTATGCCAGTCTTTTAAAACCTTATTTAATAGCCAGACTCAATCATATTTTTAACTTCATTTAGATGATGCTAATCTGGACACTTTCGCTGTTGCTGGGAGCAGTTGTAGGTAAGTAAACATATTTATGTAGTGCTGGGAGGGGATCACCACTAAATACTTTCAAGAAGTGCTATGAAAGCTGAACTCAAGCCACTGGGAAGATAATGAGTAGAGCAAGAAAGATGAATGATTAAAAGCACAAGTACTTGGGGTAAAGTTGTCAGAAAACAGTTAAGATGCCCAGTTAAATTTGAATCTCAGATACACAACAAAGGTGTGACAATTAAAAAATATTTATTGTTTATCTGAAACTCAAATATAACTTGTATTTTTATTTGCTAAATTTAGCAACCCTAGCTTGGAGTCAAGTGTGGGGTTTGAACCCTGGTTCCACCAGCCATGAATGTATTACCCTGAGCAATATACTTAACCTCTCTGTGTTTCACTATCTTCATCTGTGAAATGGGCACATACTACCACCCCTCTCATAAGATCGTTGTGAGACAGGTAAGATAGGTCATGAAAATCATCTTGCTCAGCACCTGGTCCATAGTAAGATTTCAAGCATGTAGCCCCCACAACAGCTATCACTCCTACTCTCGCTATTACTCTAGACTTTATCCTCCTCGAGAATCCTTTTTTTGTGTTGTTCTTTTATGGGGTAACATTTAAGCCTAGAGTTGTGTCAAACCATGGATATTCTGTTTGATTATTTGTGAGTAGCTTCTTCATCACAGGACTCCAGGATGCCCCTCAAACATAGGTCGGAGCCCTAAATTCTCAGCCATGTAGAGATACAAAGTTTTGGCATTTGTGTGAAACTTAAGCTCTCTACCCAAAGCCCAAAACCAGAAGGTGGCGACAAGGAGTTGAGAGCCTCACCTCCTCTCCCATGGCCTGGGGACACAAGGCTTCTGATCTTTCTTGGGCACCAGTGACTCAAGGAAGACATCTGAGTTGAGAGGCTAAATGGAACCCAGCACAGGACTGGACAGAGACATAAAGGGAGTGAGGGAGTCCTACATGCCAGAAATGAGGCACAGCAGCCTGTCTTTAGCTTGGACATTGTCTATTGAAGCCGTTCTGTAGATAGGAATATGTTTGGGTATGTGGAGGAAGAAAATATGCCACCAAATGTAACTTAACTCATATTTTGGCAGAGACCAATAATGAGAGCATTCTGGTTAAACTAAAACCCTTGAAACATTTCTGGGTATTTGCAGGAAAAGAAATCTGCTTCCAACGACTTGGCTGCTTCAGCGATGACGCCCCATGGGCAGGCATTGTGGAAAGACCTCTCAAAATGCTGCCCTGGAGTCCAAAAGAAGTCAACACCCGCTTTCTCCTCTACACTAACGAGAACCCAAATAACTATCAAGTAAGATTGCTCACTGTTTTCAGGACTGGGTTCCATCTGTTTTATGTGATAAGGATACTGAATTTTAAGTCTCCTAAAGAGACTAAATCAGACAGTGGAATTTACATCTCTGTAGACTTTTAGGACCGTAAGCCTAAGTATTATTTTATGTAACTTGTTTATAAAAGGTCCATTAACTTGATATTATTCTTATCCTACCTCTATGGTACATTTAATAAATATTCTAAATATGGATATATATATATATATATATATATAATTTCTCAATATTATATATATATATATATATGTATAGTACACACAGAAACACACAAATATGGAAACCCTTCCATTGTGTAGAAGCAAGACCCCTACCACCAATATTATAGCAGATGTATTAGCCTGAGTTAAACAACTGCAAACATGTTGTGAAGCCTGGAAAGCAGCAACTTGGTGATGACGGGAAATAGCTTGGTTGAAATGGGAGAACGCTTACTCACAAAGACCCCGAGACTGGGCAGTCTTCTCCTACCTACCACCTCCCTCTACATACAAATGGGTCTTTTGGCTACTACAAGAAGCTTGACATTAAACACTTCTATCCCCTAAATAGGAAATCTTTGCAGATTCAGCAACCATTGAGGCCTCCAATTTCAAAACGGATAGAAAAACCCGCTTTATTATTCACGGATTCATAGACAAGGGAGAAGAAAACTGGCTGGCCAACATGTGCAAGGTAAGACGTGGTCATTTCTTAAGGAAAGATTTTTTCCAGAGTGATAATTAGCCATGGGGAAGACACAGGCCCCCAACCAATCAGGACAAATGCCAAGACACTTTGATCCTGGAGGACCCTTTGACCTTGCTGGACCTGGGGTCCCAGGGGAGGTCCGGGAGGTAGTAGAAGGTAGAGAGAGCCTGGTACAGTCAGGGCAGCAAAGTTGCCAGGTATTTGGTAGCTCTGGGTAGCAGTTATTCCATAACAAATACAGAGATATTTCAAAATTCAGCAACAGATGTTGCCGTACTGATACATGGGTTGCATTTTTAATAGTTTTTAATTTTTTCAATAGGTTTTCATTTCTCCGTGAAGAGCTAAGATAACTCATTTTGCCCACACTAATGATTTTCCTTTGATTTTCACTTGCTACTCTTTGATCTCCTATGGTAGCAATACCTAGGAAAGCTGGGTAGGTTTTCATTTCCAGCTTCCGCTAGTAGTGAGCCTATGTCGTTTAATTTGCCTCTGGCTATGTGCCCTGTGATAATGAAGAATTAAAAGACAGGTAATCAAATAGAACACATTTTCTTAGTAACTGCTTGGTAACTGCTCAAGGAACACTATCATTGATTCATGTATTTCTCAAGCGTCTGTGGTCAGCTGCAGCACAAAGGTGCAGCCATGTCTTCAGGGATCTCAAGAGAAAAGTCACCAAGGTTCTTTAAATCTGTTTAATTTCAGACCTGTCTATAACTCCAGCCCAAGGCTGTTGTCCAGAGGGTTTCTGTTGATCCTCAAGACAGCTAAAATGAGTGGGCTAATTCACTTCACAAGTTTAGAAATAATCAGTAAAGCCATGATTTGTTTTTTTAAATAATTTAAAGCTGATAATTATTGGGAGGGGAAGGTAATAATAGATTTTCAGTGAAGAAAAAAAATAAGTGATTCTCAACTCAAAAGGAATGTAGATTTTTAGAAATGTGTATATAATTTATTTCTGAGATCTCAAAAGCAGAAATGTATTTCTTGCATTTGATTTGGTTTCAACAACATTGTTGCACTCTGATGGAGAAAAATGGGTTAAACTAAAAGGTTAAAGGTCCTAGGTTCCAGTTTGGACCATTCTTAGGTAACCATGACATTAACACCTCTCTTGGGATTTTTCTGCCTGTAAAATGAAGGAGTTGGGGATGACTTCCAAGATTGTTTCATTCTTCTCAAATTCTTCTTGGAAAAAAGTTGGGGATATGTATAAACACACATACAAACAAACAAATGCCTGCCAGACCTAACATTCATGAAACTATCAGTGGCCTCCATCAAACAAGGCTTCCAGTAGCTATCTGGTAGGATTATGCTTATCTGTGAAATAACTCTTCAGTAATATACAATAAAGCATGTTGATCCAAAAACTTTGATTAGTTTTTCCATCATGGAAAAGCTTAATTGTTTACCTTCAATATATTTATTTAAGGGGGTCCTAACATAGCCTTTCATGTATTTATTTATTTATTTATTTATTTATTTATTTATTTATTTATTCATTCATGCAATAAATATTTATTGAGTGTCTACTATGTGCTGGAAACTGTCCGAGGCACTAAGGGTACAGCTGTGAATGAGGAGACAATGTCCTGGGGAGCATTCTAGTAAGAGACGATGTAGTCTTATGACATTGCAATGCTCTAATGAGACAACCCATTGTACCATTTTATACATTTTTCCCTGAAACAAGTGTCTATGCAACTGTTGCAGTGGAAAAAATCCCAAGAATCCAGTTCCTATGATGGCCAAACCTCCAGTATGGAGCCATCGTTTAACTTTAAAAGGAATTCCATATCCATAACAGACCAGAAGTTTTGTTCATTGCTTTGGGGTTAAAAGCAAGCATGATATTGCGTAAGCCAAGGAAGAAATTTATCCTATTCCTCACATGTGTTAGTCATGAATTAATAAAGATTCTGAATCACTTACCTGTGCATTGTGTCTCTCCCACCAGAACCTGTTTCAGGTGGAAAGTGTGAACTGCATCTGTATAGACTGGAAAAAGGGCTCCCGAACTGGGTACACGCAGGCCTCACAGAACATCCGGATCGTGGGAGCAGAAGTGGCGTATTTTATTGATATCCTTCAGGTAACGTTTGTATAATCTCTGGGTTATATAAATGCCCATGCATATTGAACTCTGGATTCTCTTCCAAAAACTAATAATAAATGCTGTAGGCATGGTAATTGCTAAAGACATTTTCCTACTGGGATTTGGCTTTCCCCTTAGTTGAATAAAGTAAAAAAAAAAATTCTAGATTTGGCTTTATTAATATGCCTATTAAGGTCAATAAACTAGTTTTTTTAAATGTGATATTATTCAAGCCTACCTATTATTATTCAAGCCAATCTACTACTATTCAAGATAGATTGTTTCTAGTGAATTCCCCCAGTATTTCCTTTAATTTCACCGATTATTAAACCAAGTTGATTTGATAACCTCAAGATTAAACTAGTTTGGGGTTGGTGTTGTTTTTGTAAGAGAAGCACAATGATAATAAGCTAACCTGATTTATTAACTGAAAACAAAGAAAATGTTAAATTTGAATGTGCTTAAGTAGTTGTTTTTAATTAGTATTATCTAATCCAAATACTTGCTTCACCACCTCTGGGTAACAATTCCTCACATCCATCAAAGGTTCTGTCTACATAGTAAAACAACAAAAGAGAGCCCTACTCCCACCAGCTTAAATGTTAAACCCATCACTGTTTTCTATAATAAATGAAATAAAAAAGTATGAAGATCCATTGCTTTGAAGGGGGAAGTGTGTCTTCTTAAAACTCAAGTTTTCAGAGGCTCCCCTTCTGTACCCATTTTGAATTTTGCAGTATTTGAAAACATTCTGAAGTTTTCTTTCTAACAGTCAGCATTTGGGTACTCACCTTCTGATGTCCACATCATTGGCCATAGCCTGGGTTCCCATGCTGCTGGAGAGGCGGGACGAAGGATCAATGGGACCATTGGACGGATCACAGGTTGGTCAAAATAGTAAAAGCTGCACAGTTAGACTAAATGTAGCCTATATGGATGGAAATTTGGTGCAAGCTCTGCTTTTTACCTCAAGAGACAGGTTTTCATATCTTTCAAATTGGGCCACATGATCAAAAATGAGTGAGTGCTGAGGCCTTGTGAATTTTTTTTTATATTGATCATCAGCCTACTGAGCCCTGTTTAATGTATAAATATTACATGTGACTAAAAGGTGAATTAAGAACACGTGAAAGTCTTCTGCATATCTATGTCCCCTTTTTCAAGCTTCCACAAAGGACAAGTTTCATGGATAAGCTAAATAGCCGGAATAATAGAATAAATAACAAATAGAATTAAGCCCAAAGAGCTCAAAAGTGTATAATTTATTATATTCTGCTTCAGTAGCACTTGATAATTAGCCCAATTCTCAATCAACCACAAAGTCGTTGGGGGCAGGTGGACAGGGTTCCCTGGGTTGCCAGTTCTGCAGGCTGCTAATTAGATAAAATATATTATTTTACAATCTCAGACAGGGTGCATGTGGCGAATGGAGTCACATGTTGAATACCCAGGTCCTCAAACAACCCTGTAACTTGATAAGAAAGACTTCGCTATCCTGGATCTGAGCAATGACTCTTTTAGGGAACAGCCACTTTCCTCTCCCATCTTCCTGCTCTGTCTTTGACCTCCAGATTTTCTTTTTAATACTTTGGATAAGTTGGTTACCTTTGGGTTGGTGGGGGCCCCTGGAACGTCTGTTGTTAATGTGCTGGAGAGAACGTCCTTTCTCATAGGCCGTCAATGTTTACAAGAGCCCACGCAGTCAGGCTAACTTTGCGAAGCTGTGCTGACTGTGCAAGTCAGGGTCCTTGCTCTCATGAGACTTGACAGTACAGTGGGGACTCTTTTAGCCTGAACAGCTTTTCGGAGTCCAGTGTCTCCCAGAGTCTGGGTCTTTCCTTGTCACTGATGCTAGTGACGAGCATTGTCCCAGTGACTAAGCATCCATAAGTAGAGCAAAAGTTCATGGTTTGAGGCAAATCCACTTTAATGCAAATAGTGAATTAGACACAGATTACCCTTCCAAAAATGGTAAGGTTGGGAAGAGCTAGCTTATCTCTTTCAGGCATAATAACTCATGATGGCTGCCAATGCTTGCACTTAGGTCTGTAACTAATGAAGAAAAGTGAATATATATTTACACTGATAGATACTAACATGACACATCTGTTTACTTTAGGGTTGGACCCAGCTGAGCCTTGCTTTGAGGGAACACCTGAATTAGTCCGATTGGACCCCAGTGATGCCCTGTTTGTGGATGTAATTCACACAGATGCTGCCCCCATAATCCCCAACATGGGTGAGTTCCTCAATTCATCCTCCTGGAGTGCTTTTTGAGTCTATACATTAGAGTGTTTTGAGTCTATATGTTAATACCAACTTTCCCATATTTTAAAATTCCTCAGGGTTTGGAATGAGCCAAACTGCGGGTCACCTAGATTTCTTTCCAAATGGAGGAAAAGACATGCCTGGATGTCAGAAGAACATTCTCTCTCAGATTGTTGACATAGATGGGATCTGGGAAGGTAACAGTATTATGAGCAGGAAGAGGATTTTCTTGCAGGAAAATTTGTGTTTTGTTTTGCATAGTTTACTAAATTTGGGGGTATTGTACATGTCTCACATTAGCCATAACAAAGGACTTTTAATTGTATCCTCAAGATATAGGCTTTGCATTGGGGAATGTGGGCATGAGAAGACTGTAGGAAAGAAAATGTATTTGTGGTCAACTTTCCAAGGATCTAATTCAGGGAATGCATTAGTAAATTATACTGGGTTTTCGGAAAAGTCATGATGCATTTTTGCAACAAAAAACATGGAAAAATACATCATGACTTTTCTGACAAACCAATAGTTGTATCTGTATGGGCTAATCTTTTCCTTTTAAAGTTATTTTTTCCATTAAAAAGAAAAAGTCTATTTTGCCATTCCAAAAAAAAAAAAAGGCCATGTAGCCATTAGCTTTGGCATAACTATTATAATCTTAAACGGTATTTAACTTCTGCTTTCATCACAAATCATAAATACACTTCATAAATGATTTTGTTCTTTGACTGCCATGAGTTCACCCCAGTTAGAGAAAGCCACTCAACAACTATGTGCTGATCATGACGTTAACTTGGGGAAATGAAATCCGTCACTGACGCAGAACCATGTCTGCTTTCAAAGGCTCTCGTGACTTCGTGGCCTGTAACCACTTACGGAGCTACAAGTATTACTCTAACAGCATCCTCAACCCGGACGGCTTTGCTGGGTTCCCCTGTGACTCTTACAGCGCCTTCACCAACGTGAGTAGGCCCCGCCTTGCACCTAAAGGATTCTGGGGCCATCATTTCCCACAACTGATGTGGCTCACTGTCCGTGTCACACATTCAGTGACTGTTACCACGTGACTGCCACATTACTTCTACTTTTAATCATACACATTTACTTTACTCATGATAAGGTGTTGGAAAACTTTAGAGAAATGGGCTCATCCACTGAAGTGTTCCATGTCTGCCTTGATCGCTATCACTTCTAGATGTAGCAAGTAAATGTTCAGACTTGTTTTGGAAATAATTCTAAGTAAAAAAAAAGGAAATAGTCCATGGAAATCTGAGCTATGCCTACAGGAGGCTGATGAACATGGAAAACGTGTCATAAATGCTGACCTTATAAAATTATATCATAACAGGCATGTGGTATTTCTGTGCAATCTCATAATTGCCAAGATTTTTTTTTTTGAGTTTTCATCTTGTTTGGTATACCCCCTAGTTCTAAAGATCCAATCTAAGTTAGGATATTTAACTGTGATCTCAAATATGACATATCTATTGTTTTTTTTAACTTCTTTTCCTTTCACTATAATTTTTTTTAATTAAAATGTTTAACCTATGTCATTTAATAAATAAAATTTCAAATACTATGCCAGGTGAAGTCATAATTACCCAGGAGATATACATTCATGATGGAGAGAGAGACTCTTAATCCTGGTTTCACCTTTAAATTGCTGAATGATCGGGGGCTAAATGCTTAGCTGCTGTAAGACAGCTTCTTCATTTCTAAATGTAAATAGTAATGGTAACCTCCATAGATTGGGTGGAAGGATTTAATGAGATGACATGTTTTAATTGCTTAGCCCAGACCCTAAAATATAATAACTAGCATTCAGTAACTGTGGGCTATTATGTGTGTGTTTAGGGGAGTGCATATTTTATTCCCAGTACAGCTTATGTATACAACCAGAATTGCCCCCCTTTCTCTGGCCTAACTTCATTTTTTCCCCCAACTCCTGTTCTCTAGGTAACGGGAAAAAACAAAGAAGCTCTACCTTCCATTCAATTAAAATTTAGTCGGAACTCAATAATATAAATAGTCCTTTTAAGTGATGCTCAGACACTTTTATAAGAAAACAAATTCTCGACCTTGCAGATTTCTTAGCCCTTTTTTCCAAGCTGGTATTGGACAAGGTGATCATGGTGGTGGTGGTCAGCGTGTGTCGGGCAGAGGAGAAAACTTGTGGGTCTGCATTATTGATGGGCCCAGGGCAGATGTCTGCTGATGAATTATGGGCATGTCTACTCTTCTGGTTCAGACAATGCCCTCAGAAAGCTTTGGCCATTCTTCCTCACTGGCTCAGTCTCCCATTACCTTTTACCAGATGCAGCCCTGAGACTCCGCCCTGTCCCCACCTGGTCCATGGACCCAGGAGTCCACCACTCGCTCTATCTATGGAGCAGCCTTGCCCTTCCATAGCGGGAATTGTGATGTGTGTCCTTCCCACGCTGTTCCTCCCTCTCCCTCTTCTCACAATTCCTTGGCCCAGAAAGAGAGGATGTTTTCCCACGCAATGTCCATCTTTTCAAGACCCCAACCTAATAGCTGAGCCTCAACAACCCACTGAGGCATTTTCTCTCCACACTGAGAAATTCTGAGTTCTGAATTCTTCAGACCTTGTTATGTGCTATGTGGGAGCTAAAGAAATTGAGGAAAACCTGACTTTTGAGCCTATTGATCTCCTATTGGGTCCTCCTTCGCATAGCAAAAGCTGATTATCACCTGCTCTTCTCTTGCAACCTTTCCAAAATAAACTCTAACCACCTGCAGGCCAGATGGATCAGACGGATACCTTGGGGCAAAAGGGAAAACATTAAAACGAATATATATATATATTCTCTTTTGGGTGATTTTTATATTTTTGTTAGTATTGTGTTACTTCACAGTGACATTGCTAATTTATCATTGTAAATCCTGAGATGCATTTTTAACCTTTGCTGAGGCACTGCTCAAGTCCTCTTTTACCACCAGAGTAGAATTGGCTTTAGAATATTTGAGTTACAACAACATGTAGAAAAAGATGATAGACACACTATCAAAAGAAAGAGCATCCATCCTCATTCATCATGTGTTTATTTTTCCTAGAACAAATGCTTCCCCTGCCCAAGTGAAGGCTGCCCACAGATGGGTCATTATGCTGACAGATTTCCTGGGAGAACAAAGGGAGAGGGCCAGACATTTTATCTAAACACTGGTGATGCCGGCAATTTTACCCGTAAGTTTCTGTTTGATTTGCCTTCAATTCTTAATGCTGTGTATTAATGAAATGCATAGTAAAACTGGTGTGAAATTGTTTTTTCTGTGCAAAAGTTTTAAGCACCCCTCCCCAGCATGGAAAAATACTCAGATGCCATACTCAGCTAATTTGGGTGGCAGAACAGAGTTTGGGGCCTGAACTCTCAATGATATAAAAAATAAATTTCTTTACGTTTGATTCTGGTGCTGAATTCAGGAGGCTTCTTCTGCTCTAGCCTTTTTGTATTCAGTCAAAAATTTCACTGAGAAAAATTCTGAGGTTTTGTACAAGCAGAAAAGTAATCCGGGAGAGAGCTGGCAGAGGTTGTGGGAATGGAAAGACGTTGACAGATTCAGGAAATGTATAGGATTAGAGACTCCATGGGTGATGGGGATTAGAGGATGTATGGATGGCACAGCACGAGGACAGATTCCAGGTTTCTTTTCTAGGTCATAGAAGAAGAAAACAACTTGTTTGGGCACCAGTGGGATTAACTGCACTATAAAACGAAAGCCAAATTTTATTCCCTCCCCAATATCTCAAACCATCTCAAAGTGGCAAAAACTGGTAGCTCACTATTGATTAGTACCATAAATCGGTTACCATCAATTAATACATTTCCAATGTCAATGGAAAGTTGAATTGCAGAATTTTAAAAATACGTTTAGGCTATTTAGACAAAAAGATGGCAGTACTCTAAAATGGGATGATCTATGAAAAGGAAGTAAATTGATGAAAATGTCACACTCTACTATTTTTCCACCATGTTTTAACATAAAGCCCTTTTAACATTGAAAAATAAATTGTTAGGTTAAAAAAATTGAAAGAAAAATATATTACTTTTTCTGTTGGTTTGAAATCTATTGACTTTGGGAAGATTCTGTGCTCTCCCCCTCCCCCAACATCCGCCCTCTGAATATTTAGATAAAGGAATGTCTATGGCGATTTGATTAGAAGAACTACCAATATCATATATAAGTTATTGAAAATTCAGCAGTAGTGGGAGCCAAGTTAGCCTGTTTTCAGTGTTATCTTCTCTACAAGCTAACATTTCGCAATTTCCCGCCCCCCATGCAGGTTGGAGGTACAAAGTAACTGTTATCCTGTCTGGAAGGAAGGTTAGAGGACATGTGCTCGTTTCCTTGTTTGGAAGTAAAGGAAACTCTAAGCAGTATGAAATTTTCAAGTGAGTAAAATATAACTCTAGGTTTCTTAAATGTTGGAATACTTTGCATATATAATGTATGTTATGGACATCAGAGTTTATTCATTACTATATAAATGTGGAGTACTGCCACATATCATTAAAAGGAAGAGATTTTTTTTTCTCTCTTTGTACCTTGATACATTTCAGAATTTGTTTCTAATTTTTTTCTCTGCTATTCCTGAGAAAACCCCTGATGTTTACTTTGATGCGTGCCATCTCATTTCTAAGCAGTCAATAATCATTCTGTCCACAAAACAACTGGCAAAAGGTGGTATAATAATGCCATCATTTATTAAATTGTGGGAGGCTTGTGATAAAACATGTTTGAAGTTTTATTAAAGTAAGAATGACTTTCAAATATTATGAGTTACTGATGGCAAATGAACTACTGCTGACTTAGAATACGTGTCTGCATTTATTTAGTATGTTAGAATGACAGATGTATACTCAGCCATCTCTCTACAGATGCATCATAAGCTGGTTGCAGAAACAAATCAGTGTATATCTATATGTATATTTATGTATGCTCATGTATGTTTTTAATAACTTCTCAACTCCGCAGGGGCTCTCTCAAACCAGAAAGTATTCATTCCAATGAAATTGACTCAGATGTGGATGTTGGAGACTTGCAAAAGGTCAAGTTTGTTTGGTATAACAGGGTGATCAACCCAACTCTACCCAGAGTGGGAGCATCCCAGATCGCGGTGGAAAGAAATGATGGACAAGTGTAAGTAAAAAAAAAAAAAAAAATCCAGATATATATAGTCTATTCCCACTGAAAGTTTACTTTAAGTTAAATCTACCTGGTTCTCCTACATCCCAGCCACAGCTGCTTCCTAATACCTTTTGTTTCTTTGGGAGAAAGTATAGAACTTTAGGAAAACAACTTTGATAGATTTGTGAGTAAGTGTTGTGTTATCTAATACAGGGTAAGTGTTACGATGAGAATCTGGTTTCATGATCTAAGGTGAAAAGATTGATTTCATTTAGCAGCTGTGTCTTGTGCTATGTGTGTGCTCAATATGCATATTTCCCCCCAAATTCCTAGGTTCACCAAATTACCACTTAAATTGTCAGGAAAATACTTAATATATTAAGGAATACAAATTAGCTGTTCTGTATCATTGGCCGTCTTAGTGAAGACAAAAGTCAGGCCTTGGTTCTAACCAAGACTGAAGTGCGTTTGAGACAAAAGGTATTTACCATGATGAACATCTAGAAAAAGTGAGATGATGATGGTGGTGAAAGTTGTAACAATATCGGTATTAGCCCAGGGTTTTGAATATAAAACCAAATTCTGAAGCACAGTGCTGTGCTATGCCTCTTCTGTCATCATGCCATTCAGTCCTCATAAAAGCCCAATGAGGAGACGTTTGCTTTTGGCCAAGATGGAGTAACAGTGACCGGATTTACCTTCCCAACTGAAACAACCAAAAATTCAGATGAAATACATAAAATAACAATTTGAAGATACTGAACATCAGGCAACAAAGGCAAGTGACCCCTGAGAGACAAGAAACAAATGAGGTGGAGCCTTACAGTTGTCTCAGCTTACTGCCTGGAGAGTGTTTCCAGGATGTTACACAAGGAGAAAAAATTCAGGCAAAGCCCCATGGACTCTCTGAATGGAGGAGTCAGAACTAAGAATCCAGAAAATCTAAGGCAATTAGATTTCACAGCACAGAGTATGAAAGAGGCAAGATATACAGACAGCATCTCGTAAATCTAGAAAGGTCCCTTGAATATTCAGCAGAGTACTAATCAGGACATATGTGTGAGGAAACTAGCCAAGGCCAGTGAAATATCTATCTGAAAGATTAGAGAGAACAGTGCCCAGTGCTCTTGCGTGGCTGGGAACAGTACACGTTTCCATTAGCCAAGCTGGGAAAGCTCATAAGTGAAGAAACATTGGGTAAAATATTTAGGAAAGTCTCCCCTCAGTATTGGGAAATAATTATCCTAGATTGAGCAAGACCTGAAAGTTTCAAACTGTTTCCAAATAACTGAACTACAACCCAGAACAGAACCCAAGAAAATATTTAGGAATACAAAATTATCCAGGAGCAAAAAGGCTAAAATCCACAATATATGACATTAAATAAAAATTTCTCAGGTATACAAAAAAATATATGGGCAATACAACCTATGATGAAGAGAATAATCAATTAAAACCAAACTAGACCTGACACAAATGTTGTAATAGCAGACACAGGCATTAAAACTGTTATTAAACTTGTATTCCATTTGTTCAGAAGGTCAGTAAAGACATGGGATATACAGAAAAAAGATCCAAATTGAGTTTTTTAGAGATGAGAACTATAATATTTAACATTGCAAAGTACACTGGATGCAATTAATAGGAAATTAGACATGGCAAAAGAAAAGATTAGTGAACTTGAAGATATAATAGAAAATATTCAAAATGAAACACAACGAGAAAAAAGAATTTTAAAAATGAAAAGAACACCAGTGAGCAGTGAAATAACTTCATGAAATATATTATACTTCTCATTGAAGACCCCAGAGGAGGAGAGAGAAAAAAATATATCTGAGGAAATAATGGCTCCAAAAGTTTCAAACTTAAAAGCTATAGACCAAGAGATCCAAGCAGTATAACAAGAAACATGAAGAAAACTAACCAACACACCTCAAAACCAAATTGCTGAAAACTGGTTATAAAGAGAAAGTCTTAGAAGCAGCCAGAGAAAAAAAATACATATTACATATAGAGGAATACAGATAATAACTACAGCAAATTTCTCATCAGAAACAATACAAGTGAAAAGACAGTGAAACTATACCTTTAAAGTACTGAAAGGAAAAAATTGTTAACCTAGAATTCTATACTTATGAAATATCTTTCAAAGGTGAAGATGAATTAAAGACTTTTCAGACATACCAAAGCTGAAAGAATTTATCACCAGCAGGTCAACAAAATAAGAAATGTTAAAAGGTTTGCAAGGAGAGGACAATGATATACCAGTTGGAAAAGAATCTACAGAAAGAAATTAAGAACCTAAGAAATAATAACTATATTGGAAAATATAGAAGGTCTTTAAATATTATTATTTAAGTCTTTAAAAATAATTGACTATTTAAAAATGATGGCAATATGGGGGGGCATATAACACATGTATAAGTAAAATATATAATAACAATGCCATAATGGAGAGAAATAGGAATATACTACTGTGATGTATTTATACCATATGTGAATTGGGATAATATCACTTGAAGGTAAAATGTGATAAGTTAAAATATATGGTATAAATTCTAAAGCAACTACTAAAATAATAAAACAAAGAACTATAGCTACGAGCCCACAAAAGAGATAAAATACAATTAATAATAATAATAATAATAATAATAATTAATAATAATAATAAGGCATAAAAAGAGGGAAAAAAGACAAAATATATAGGGGAGAAATAGCAACATAATAGACTTAAACCTAACCATATCCATAACTGTATTAAAGTTATAATGGTCTATATACAAAAATTAGAAGACAGATTGTCAAATTGGATTTTTGAAAATCAATGCCCAATTATATACTGCCTACATGAAATGCACTTTAAATATAAAAATACACATAGATTAAAAGTGAAAGGACAGAAAGAGGTATACCATTAGTTATTTGGAAAATGAAAATTAAAAGCACAATGAGATATTACCATAAACTTATTTAAATGGCTAAAATTGAAAAGATTGACAATACCAAGTGTCAGTAAGGATGTGAAGAATCTTCAACTCTCATACACTTTGGATGGGAATATAAAATGATGCAACCACTTTGGAAAATAGTTTGGCAATTTTTTAAAAAGCCAAACATACACCTACCATGATACAGCCATTCCTCTTAGGTATTTACACAAGAAAAAAGAAAGCATGTGTTTATACAAATATTTGTATATGAATATTCATAGCAGCTTTCATTGCAATAGTCAAAAACTAGAAATAACCCAACACCCACCAACAGGAGAATGGGTAAACAATTCATGGTCTAGCCACACGATGGAATACTACTCAGCAGTGGAAAAGAATGCAACAGCATGGATGAATCTCAAAATAATTACACTGAACAAAATTATACTGAACAATAGAAGTTAGACAAAAGAGTGCATACACCTTTGATTCCATTCATGTAATAAAAAAATCTATACAATTCAAACTAGTCTATAGTCACAGCAGACCAGTCATTGACTGTAAGGAAGGAAGATGAAAAGGGATAGGAAAGAAAGCTGATAAGGATCAAAAGGATAATTTGGGGGTGATAGACATGTTTAATCCCTTGATTGTGGTGATGGGAGGTAGGTACTATTTTTATCCCCATTTTCCAGATAATTGCATGAAAGTTTAGTGTCAGAATTCATATGCAGGAAATACAACTTCAGCAAATTCTTAACGACCACAAAACACATTCAGTTCCCTCTATTCATATATAGATATTGTGTGCCCTTCATTTCTCGTGTCCCTCATCAGTATTAGTTTTTAACCTTTAGTTTGCCATTTGTGAGTCGGCCAGCCATCAGACCACAAGGAGGGACATGAAGATGAAGAAAACAGAGCATTTTTATGCGCCAGGAACTTTCCATGTGCTTCTCTATTTTATTAAAGAAAATGAGCCCCAAAGCATCCTAAGTATTGTTCAGCCTTAATGAGCACAATTCGTCATTTCAGTTCAATTACTGACTTAAAATAAGAATACCTAGCCAGCGTAACACCAGGACCTCAGAACTTCTACTCTGGCTGATTTCTTGCCGTACTGCTGACCTTACTCTTCTTCCTCAGTGGTGCCACATGTTTAGTAGGTGCTTTTAGGGTGTGACAAATGAACTTCCCTGTACTTTGAGGTGTCCCATGACATCTCCTCGCTCTGCTATTGCACAGCCATGAAACAAAATTGGAAAGGAGAAGCCCCTCCTTTAAACAGAAGAGGTCTTCCCTCCGCCAGTGTCTGGTTTGGGGGACAGGGCGTGCTCCTCACTCAAATGGAGGGGGCAGTAGAGGCTGTCCTCATGCCCAACTCACCCACTGTGTACACAGAAGAGTTGACTTCTGGTTTTCTCTCCACAGGTTCAACTTCTGCAGTACTGAAACTGTGAGGGAAGACGTCCTACTCACTCTCACGCCATGTTAGAAGCCTGCTGACATGTGACCGATGAATCTTATCGCTAATAAAATCTATTGGTGAAGCAATACCATCCTTTCTTTGTCATCATGTCTGTTTTTCCAATGAAACTTTTGGATAAGATGATCGAGATCCAAAATTTGCAAGTGGTTGGAAGAACCACATTCAACAAATGTCTGTTGAATTTTGCTGCACATTATGTGACATTTAAGCTTAGAAATATTGTTTACTTGATACTGGCATCACACCCATTACTACTATTACTGATGTCACCCCGATAACTTAAGGCAGACCTTTAGGTCCAAAATGACTCCCTTTTGGTGGACTCACTTGAAAAGGACACACCTTTGCCCCTTTTTTCCATCATCTTAAAGTTCTGTGTCTGTTCCTGTGTCCTCAAACATCTCAGCAGCGAGGGCTGGGCATATCCAATGCTTCCCTATGGCCACTCTGCTCCCAATAGGGCTCCCCCAGACCCTCTCCTCTCTGCAGCCTCTTTGATTTTCCTGAAGCACAAATCAAAGATCCTCCCAATGATCCCCAGGATAGACTCCACATTCCTTAGGGAGCATTACAGGACCCCTTTTGGTCTGGTTTTCACAAAGGACCCCAGTATCATCTCTCGCCACCTTCCTTCTGGAACTCTACATCCTGGCACTGTCCTCCAAAAGGGCCTTGATCTTGGGTGCTGCTGGACCTTTGCATAAAGCCTTCCTCTCCCTAGGATGTTCTTTACCCCGTCTTCCTGTCTATTGAACTCCCTCTGATGGATGAACTTCCTGTCTGCCTAGATATCACCTCTTCCAGGAAGACTTTCTTCACCTCCATTACCCACACCCCTTAAGAATGGATTAGCGGCTACCCCACTACATTCCCACTGTACCCAGAACTTCTTTCATCTCAGTATGTATCTCCCCATATCATCATTGCCTGTATCCCATTTGTAAATTCCTTATGGGGTTTGCATGTCGTATGTGCCTGGTTCAATTGAATGCAGACAGTGGGAAAGATTTAGAAAACAGCTTTCTCAGAACACTTTTTTTGGAATTAAGGGGCTCTGAGAACCCAGCTTGAACCAATTCTTCCCTGAGAATTCATAAGGTAGTTCTTTTACAAGATGACAATGTATCTGAACATTCTGAACTTGAAATTGAAGGTGAAAACAAGGACAGAACTGATTGGGTGGAGGAAGGAGCTATTTGTCTCTCTCTGGATGTGTGGACATGGCAGATGATGGCTAGCGATGTCACTCTTTATCTTGGTGACGTTCAAGGAGCTATGCATTTGAAGACAGGAGAGCTGTCTGGTGGACATAAAAGCATAGTTTCAGAAGAGATGCACAGATCTGTGTGCAGACGAGTCCAGCCTTAAGTTCCTGAAGCTGACCGAGATACAAGTTCATTGAACATATTTCATCTATTGTTGTTTGAAAGTCACACCTAGAAATCTTTGCATCTGGTGTGGAATGACTCCATTGGCCTAGGAGGCTCTGCAGGAGATGCAATTTAGACTCCAGTCTTGCTAAGGGCTTAGTCCAATTATATCCCCCAGAGCATTTAAACAGGAGCCAGGGCATTAGATTCCAGTGCATATTGACGAATGTAGGAGTTAGGAAGGACTATACGCTCAACTGATGTGTGCCCAAGAATGGCGACACTCAGTGCAATGATAGCTGCTCTCTCTGCATCCCAGGGCTGGATGGGCTGAGTTCCTGTGGTGGTTAGCTACTGCTGTGTAACAAACCACCACCAAACTCAGTGGCTTTAAACTGTTAGCATATTTTAGTAATCTCTGGGTTAGTTGGGTACTCCTGCTTTTGGCTGCATTCACTCGTGTGTCTGTGGTCAGAGTGAGTTGAGTCAGCAGCGCTGCTCACCTTGGCTGGGTCTCTCACATATTTGGGAGCTTGGCTGGCTTTGAGTTGGTCCAAGATATTACTGCCATCACATTTCATAACCACATCAAGTCACACAACTATCCCAGATTCAAGGGATAGGGAAATAGTCCAGTTGTTGATGGAAGGAGCTGCAAGATCACATTGCAAAGGGCATGGCTATTTGTGGGGAGTGGGAAAAGCTCACCATTTTCACAATGTATCTATCACCAACTCTTACCTATTTCTCCATCTTGGGAAGCCTGGGATTGGGGATGGAACAGGTCAGGTGTCAGGAGGTTTTTCACAGTAATGGGTCAGCGCAGGCTCCAGCCTTTGGTCTTCTCGTACTATCCTTTCCTCCCTGCTGTCATCAGAAGTGAGGGCGCCTTTTTGGTTCCCTCGCTTTTGACTTTCTCCATGACACCATACTTCTTATCAAACAACTAAGGCCCATGAATTGAAACTTGCTTCTTATCTTAAAACAACACAATAGCCCTGACCAGATTTGCTGCTCAGGAAATCCAGTCTCCATAGTCATCATTCACTGTTGCTAACGCATACAAATCATCTCTTCATTATTTCAAGGAGTGATAAACACAAACAATACTTTTAAAGAAACCCCCTACTCACCGCCAGTGAGCCACTAACTGTGCACTTCTGTACAAGTTTAGCAGAGTCAGTTGATTTAGAATTGTTAATTTGGAACCACACACTTCTTGCAGGAGCTGCCCAGCTCACAACTTCAGCGCCATCTTTAGGTGCACAGGGGTGGGTTCCCTCAGCCAGGCCTGCTTGGTAGCACCCATTCCCATTGCTCATTAATTCAGGGACAGCTCCTTACCTAACCAGGCCAATCACTGCTCATTAAGAATTCTGAGCTGCGATTCACAGAGCCAGAGAGTGCATGCAGCAGTGTGAGGTCCAAGGCAGAGGGCACCTGGGGTGACTGATGTCTTCAGGATGGCCCCATTTCTTGGGCTTCCCTGGGTCTCACGGTTCAGCAGTTTCATAGATTCCATGAGATGCCCCAAAATTTCTTTCAATAAATCGCTCCTTTTTTAAAATTTAGCTAACTGGAGTTGATTTCTGTTGCTTACAACCAAAAGAACCATAACATCCCCTGGAAAAAGTTACCTGTTTAAGTAGCCGGTGGTCTCTACTTCACTGTTGTTCCAGGAGCAGTGGGGTGGGGAGAGTAGCCAACATACACAGACACATGCTAAGTGTACTGATCTTTCGTCCCTGAAATTCAGCTTTAGGAATTTATCTCACAGGTACACCATCCATGTGGAAAGTGACAAGTGTATAAGAACTTTCATGAAGGCGTTGTGCTCAATAGTAAAATATTGGAAACAACCAAATGTTCAATAGAGGACACATAAGCTGTGATCACCTTTAGGTGGTTTCAGCCACTGAACCCCCAAGGCAGGGACCTTTCCCTTGGGGTAGGCATGGAGCCCGCACATGAACTTGGCAGTGAAGTGACCTGAAAGGGAGAAAGGCATGGGGACCTTACCCCTGGGCAAACTGTGACACATCATGTGGTGATTATTTCTCCTAAATTTAATCGGATGTTCATATTCTCCCTCCTTCTCTAAAGAATGACACTCTTTCTTTCTCCTCCTTAAACCTGTGCCCTCTCACCTTTCCCAGCCCTGAAACTGAGAATAAAATGCTCATGAACTCCATTTATACTCACCATCACCCTTTCATTTATTCCTAACCACTTCAGTGCCACGCACAGTTCTAGCAGCTGAGGTTGCAGCGGTGGCCAAAACAGATGAGGCCATCTGACGTCTGCTGCCATCTCATTTACCTATTTGCTCACCGTTAGATTATCATGAATGTCTTCTTGGGTCATCACTGCAATGTCAAAGAAAGGCATAAAGGCCTTTGACTTCCCCAGCCTTTGTAAGGTGCTCCAGCACCTTCTTAATTCCCGAGCAGACGTCCAGAGCTTAAATACCTTATTGCTTAGGTCAATCAGATGGCTCAAGTCTGGCAGTTCAGGGGGAAATCTATTTTCTATTTCGACTTATTCTATGTAAGTCATCTCCCTATTCTGTGTGGTTGACACTCAACAAATCTTATTGATAACTTGCTCAGAATAACTGAATATTCAATAACTCCTTGTTTCACTCTGTATAGACTGAATTCAAATCCCATCTGATCACTCATTAGCTGTGTGACTTTGGAGACAATTTATTTATCTCTCTGTGCCTCAGTATCCACATATGTAAAAGGAGGCACATAATGGTACCTACTTCATGGGGTTGTTAAAAGATTTAAATTAGGTAATACGTGTAAAATGCTCGAAACGCTGACTGCACATGGTAAGCCTCAGTAACTGTTGGCATTTATTCTTTGTTATTCCTGGAGAAGTCCTGGTCATTTTCTTAACAGGAGAGCCCCTCCAACTGTACTGCAGTGTTTTGATTACTCAGAAGGAGTGTGAACTTTGGCAGTGAGGCATATTCAATGTGGGGACGGGATAGGACACCAGTAGTGTTTGCCAGGTGAAGGCTTATCTGCCTGTTGTGTGAACTGGCCGAGCTGCTCACAGATGCCTGTCTGTAGATAATTCATGACAGCCTCACAGGGGCCAAGTCTTACAGGGCAGGTGTGCAACCTTCAGCGTGTCTAGGGAAACTCAACAGATGTGACTTGGTCTGGCGACATGGGCTTTCAGAGGCTCCTGAATCCATCTATTCAAAATTATAGTGGGATGATAGAATAATTGAGATTGTTTTAAACCATTATGCTTTGGGTTGGTTCATTACATCGCATTAGATAACTGGAACAGGAAGTGAATGGGGGATTGTGGTCAGAGGCGATTGATTGTAGGGGCTTTTAAATTTGTCTCCAAAGCTCATGTCCTCAGGTGTTACTCAACTGCCAGAGAAAGAAAGAGCGACAGAGACAGAGACAGAGACAGAGAGAGGAGAATTTTCTCAATCAGACGCTTCCCTTTAGTTTCAGCTATGTGGGGGGCATTCCTACTTACTCTAAGTGACAGCTACTGCCCTCTATTATTAGAGTTTGCTGCTGTGTCCTTATTGGAACTTGTAAACCACTTGGTGATGAAATAGAAAATTGGAAAGTGGGGCCCACTCAGTTCACAATTACGTGCACAGGGACATAGGTACAGAGTTAGGG